TTTTTTTTGGTTTTTTTTGGTCCTCTGCAGACTTCTTTATTTCCCTAGGAGTCTCAGAAAATTGTTTTTTTTGGTTTTTTTGGTCCTCTGCAGACTTCTTTATTTCCCTAGGAGTCTCAGAAAATTGTTTTTTTTGTTTTTTTTGGTTTTTTTGGTCCTCTGCAGACTTCTCTATTTTCTTGAGTGTTGTTTTCTCCTTGGGAGAAATGCACTTATCAACGCATCTGGAACTCCTGACAGGTCATCCTCTTATCTGCTGCATTCTGAACCTCTACATCTCATCTCCTTGGAACGTCAGAATTGAATATGCAACTTCTGAGCAATGTTTCACAAAAGATCTTCATTTGCTGGCTTCTGTCATTGAAGGTATTTTTCATGCATGTCCCTGCAGTAGTTGATGTCACTTCCATGTCATTTGATTCTTCCACTGCTAGATTTTGCTCTCAAATCTGATTTGCTCTCATCCGCTTCCTGACGTCTTCTTTGTGCTCATTGTCACCTACCATGGCACTTCAGCTTGGTGCAGGGGATGGTTTCAACAGAGACCTTGGAGACCAAGACGGGAAACTCACATTTGCCGAAGCAGTAGTCCAAGTCAATGGCCAAAAGCTTATTGGTCCCGAACGCAGGCCTTTGAAGTCTGATCGTCCTGTGGGCGATGTGACGATCGGTGACTTGCCTCTTCGCAACATGGACAGTATGGGCCACAAAGTCGAACAGTATGCTGATGTGATTGTCAATCACAAGCTCAATGTGACGCAGGACTTTTTGGACAACACTCTCTACCGACTGTGTGCGAAGGAGAAGTACAGTGAACTTCCATCTCCGTTCAACATGAAAGAAGAGCCGAAAGTCCCCTATAGCATGCAGATAGTCATCTTGCCAGCCGCTGATCCTCCTAATCCTGATGAGAAGTTTGTGGACATCTTCAAGCACATCTACTTGCATAAGAATAAAGTCTTCTCCAAGGATTGCATGAATTCTTGTCATGGTCATCCTTTCCGTTTCGATTGGGGCCAGCAGGTGCGTTTAGGCCTGTCTGCTTTCAATTATATGCTTGATCGCATGGGTGGGATGCAATTGCGCCTTTGGATCATCAAACCAAAGTTCGAGAAGAAGATGACCATTGATCAGCAAGCCCGTGAGAATGGCTATCGCTAAAAAACCTATGAATTAAAAAAACCTATGAATTAAAAACCCACCCCCCAGCGCAATCCGCTCTCATTATATACATATATATATACATACACACTTGATGTTTGTATGCACTTCTCAAGAGTTGTTTGACCAAGGATCGTTGTGTGCAATCTAAGTATATTCAGTGATACTAAGGCAAGAGCTAGGAGTCGGCTCCCTTCAATCTGCCAGATCCCTTCATATGTATTCATATGCTACATGTTGCACTTCCTGAAGCGGTGTGCACCCTCTCTGAGGGGCACCCAGTCAATGTGCACTTCCTGGCTACTGCACTACTTCGAGTGCCGGTAGAGGCATGGCTCTCCAGCGCTCAAGAAATCTCATGGACCCCATGGCATGGCAGGCTGCAACCTCCAAACCGACCTCCAACTTGCTCCCCTCGTCTACGGCTGAGCATTCACATCTTCATACTATTGCCACCCGATAAGCTGATTTGGCTTGAGGATGGCCGAACTATTGCACAAAGCGGCAGAGTTGGTCGTCACGCAGCTCGAGAGATCCACTGTGCAGCTGCAGGCAGAGTGCCATTTGCACTGCTTCGGGCATGCTGTCTCTTCCTGTAGGATGCGCTGGAAAGACGCAGCCTGAGGGTGCGCCATGCCGGTGTCGTGTGACACATGCAGTAGACTGGTGTAGAGAAAGGCATTGGCAACGGCACAGAAGCAGACGATGGAATCAGCGTAGCTGTAACCTACTTTAAGATGCTCTCGTCTCATGATTGCCAATTGATATCCCACAGAGGCTGCACTGAAAGCCTATGTTCCTTTCCATGACAGGCATGGCGTGGACCTTTGAGGAGATGGCTAGATCGCATGCACGAAGCAGGCCTGCAAAATGTAGAGTGCATCCCCATTTAGCTGTTCATGACATGTCAATGCCATGAGACTCCTATCCGCCTTGCACTCTGCAGGCACTGGTAGCCGGAACTCTCCAGTGGCAGCTGGAGACTGAAATGGGAAGAAAGTGACTCATGGGATGTTCTCGTCCCATGACGCTCCTGCAGTACTGTGACCACCCTCGTTGTGTCATGTTGTGTCATTTGCGTTTGTTCCAAAAACAGTTTACATTGGGGTTGTCTCTTAGAAAAAAGGGCCGGCCACACTGGCTGGCCGCGCCCCTGAACTCTGTGTCCAGGCTGTGTGTCCGGGCTCTGTGTCCGGGTCTTGTCCTCCTCTAGTCCTGCTGTTGTCCCCTGGCCGCGCTGGCCAACCCTGTGTCCTCCTCTTATCCTCCTCTTGTCCTTCATCTTTTTGTCCTTTGTTGTCCTCATGTCCTCCTGCTGTCGTGCTCTTTACGCTGCTTTTGGAGGCAGGGAACAACAAGTCTTACCGACTAACCTGTTTGGGGTCTATGCTGGTATAACTTTTTGATTTTTTTGGTGAGGTGTTAGTGAGCAACTGCGCTGAAGTCCTTGGTGAGCTGCCACTCTACTGACTGCTGGGAGCAAAACGTATCGAAGGACGCACTCAGGACTTGCTGTCAGCATGTCAGGCATTTTTGCCGCAGATCAGGTTGTTGCACTTTTGGTTGCATTTATGCTCAAATCTCGACTGTGCTGCTCCAGCACAATGATATAGTCTCGGCTTTGCATCTCTGGAGGCTGACCTTAGAACTTCAAGCCTCCCAACTTGTAAACTCTCATGTTTCCTCGCATTCAGCAGCTTTCAGGTCTTGGCAATGGCAGCTTTCAGGCCGACAGAGTTCAAAAGTGACAGATGCACAGTGCCCTCCTCAGCGCTTTGGCTTCACAGGACCTTGCGAAGCCTGCCGCAGCGGAGTCTGAAACGCGCGCCAACGACAAGTGATGGGTTTGGGCTGGTGTAGAGATTCCTTCAGAAACTTGGCCCGCTCAACAGCAAGCACAGCGCAGCACTGAAAAGTTTAACATGCATTTTTATGGAACCCCACTCGTCGAAGTGCCTCAAATACAACAATTTTTTCAACAAGAAGCCATTCAAGCGCAGCTTTGTGGCCAGGAAGATGTGCTTTGCCAACTAGCTTGCGCCTGTTTTCATGCAGGCCATGCCTGGTATTGCATTCGTCAAATTAGTTGGACCATGGTGGACCCAGACTTCCACCTCTTGAATCTACTGGTGCCGAACCTCCTGCCTCAGGATGTCGCACATAAGAGCCCACCCTTGCCATCAATCTGTTGACGAGGCCAGGCTGCGCTTCAATTTTTGGGACGTGCTTGATTGGATGAGCCAAGATTCCACGTCATCTTGCCCGAAACCGAGAGTGACAGGTTCGGCTATTGTGTGCAGCTGCAGCTGGTGCGCTGGTCACTCCCTCCCGTTTGAAATGCGCTTTGCGCCGTGTGAGGGAGATGTCCACATCTGAGAGAGTCAAGCGGTCCAGCATTTTCCGTTCTCTTGTGGAAGAAGCGCCTGAACTTTAAACATATACCATATATATTTATTGGCCACGTATTGCAGGCGATATCAATGGTTGCGGACGCAAGGCGCTTTAGACGCACGACGTCAATGTTGAATGCCTTTTTCAAGGTTGCTGAACTGTTTGCCAAGGAGCAGTGCGAACTGCTACTTTGAAACTTCGCCTCAGGGTGATGTTGACCGTCTCAAGAGGCACCCGGTGATGTGCCGAAGCAGTTACGATGAGTTTTCAAGTGTTCTACCTGTGCAGATGGTCCAGAGTTTTCTGGAATCTTCCAGCCGGTTCACTTGCTCAGTCAACTTCGGCCAACTTTGGTACTTGCAAAAATGAAGTTACGTTGTAGACACTGCATGTTGTGTTTGCCTACCCGTAACTAAGGCGTTTCGCCTGCTTTCCATCAGTCTGAGGCTGTTGGTCAGCATAAGTGAGGGCACATCTGAAGCCAAAAATAGACTCATCACGACCGATGGTGGGACATGCAGGTGAACCCTTTCCTTGAGAAGCACCTCTCTCGGTGGAATTGGTCTCAGGAATACTAGAGTATGCAAGCGAACGTAGATAAGATTATTACGGCATCACTATATAGTTTTGCAAGTGGCCGAGGACAGCAGGAATGGCTTCGCCAGACACTGCCAGCTCCAGAGCATTCTGAAGGGGAGTTTGGCACTTGAAAACTTGGAGCTATGAGGCAAAGACTGCCCCAAAAGTGCTCGTGCCGCTTTGCGGAAAAACAATTGATATGACCGGCACTTAAGTCTGGGTGAGCAATTGAAACCAGATCAAATTCGTTCAGAGACTTGAGGCCATACCTGTGTGAAGTGGGCTATGGCGTTGTTGGGGTTGAGGCATATTGGACCGTTGTGATGTGTCTCCATGTTGCATGAGCGCACTGGCCGTTGTTGGTCCCTGCCTCAGGGTGTTCAACGAGGAATCTTGGATTTCAAGGCAGAACATCAGATTAGAGTCCTCAACTCAGTGTATGCCTCAAACCCTTTGCCGTGCAGCTTGCTGCAGCTTGTTGTTCCGTCATTTTTGCAGGTGAAAGGCCTAAAGTCGAAAACGATTTGGTCAAATGACGGCGATGGTCAGCTACTTTGCTGTTCACTCTCCTCAATTTTCCGACACTCTTCGACACTCTTCGACAACTTGACAGGATGGAAAGAAGGCAGCACCTTCATCCCGGCAACCAGCTTCCAAGGAGCAAGGAGAGTGCAGATGGATCAAAATTGTATGCGCACCCCTACCGTGCACTTCTCGCCTGTTTACGCTGATGCCGGAGAGGAAAGGTTTTGTCTTCAAGACTGGCGACCAGGGGCCATTGGCCAAGCATTTGTTCCTTCTTTGAGTCTTTGATGCTTCTCCGACAGTAACACCAAAGACTTGAGGGCAAGTGAAGTGGCAATGTCGTGCAAAAGTGTGCCTCAACTGAGCTGAGGTTGGGATACTATTCTGAAACTCCTGCAGTTTGGAGAGGGAAGGCAGGGTATTCCCATGGCATGACATGGTTCATTGACAAGTTTGGCGCCAGCTTCGCGCAGGTGAACCTGGGAAAGAGGCATGCTCCTTTACATATACTGCAGTGTGACATGCTAAAACCTCAGGCCTCAGGCACAGTGCCTATGTTGCTGCTTTGTCAGTGGCTGGTTCTAGACTCTACCAGGGGCCCAACAAACCATCAAACACCTGGTTTTCCCTAGCAAAAAACTTGCTTTTTGTGTGTGAAAACCTTTGTTTTTCATGGTTTGGAGGGCCCCTGGTAGACTGTGTGTTTACTGATTCTTTACTTCAGCTGGCTGAGCATGAGGTTTGACGTAACGCCTGATTTGCTTGCAGCTTCGACGTTCGCGACTGATGGGAGGCAGTCAATCACAACTGTTGCTTCCCGAGCAATGTTTGAGCAAAACGTCTTGTTAAGCATGGCCAAACCAATGTCGCGGGCCGCCGCAGGTTTGACTTGATCTACGATCGAGATGCTTTGGCAGCTCGATGATAAATGGCATATACCGGTGTGGTAGGTAGCCACAATGCAAAGCACTACTCTTAGCAAGCAATCCTGGCTTTGGGGTGGGGTTGGGCCTTGACAATTGCAGTCCCAACGTGCGCAAAGAAAGGATATGAATTATCAGATGCTCTTGGGGGTATAGCAGGGCCACGAGAATAGCATTGTGGCATGCAAGAGTCAATCCAACCCAAACATCAGCAGAACTTTAAACATATCTGCAAACTGTGTCTACCAGAGTCTACCTCGAGTGCACAATGAATTTCTGGAGCTTGAGCCCATCACAAAGGACTCATGACGTGAGATGACTCCTGGTCATGTTTCCGCATGTACAACTGTTTCCTTCGAACATAAAGAAGCATCAAAACTGCAGGGGTTTCGCTTGTTCATCCGCCTACAGTACTGTAGTGTCCTTTTCGAGCGTGCAGTGTCTAATACACCCGTCTGTTAAAAACCAGCGGTCCAGGTTGGCGTTTGTGCTGTGTTGATTACTTGAACGTTTCGTCGCCCAGCTCGGTTGAAAGCAACCAGCTTGGACTTTGCGTAGCTTTCGGGTGCTACGCCATACCCGTAGCACAGCAAAGACCTAGACCTAGCCCACTTTGTTTGAGAGAAGGTTGTGCTACTTTGTGAAAGCAGAGTGGCTGGCTGTTGATATGGTTTCTCAGGGAGCGCTTCCTCCAGATTCGTGGGCGCAGTGCGAGCCTTAGAAATGTTGGCAATGCCTGGGCACTTTCCGGTCGCCGAGTGGACCGCGATGTGGATTGATGAACAGTATTGAAGCTTGGAGTTTGGCACGTGGCGTTGTGTTAACATGTATATCGTCAGTAATGTATAGGCCAATGTAACGCCAATGTATATAATATATAGTATTATAAAATATATATAATATATATATATATAGGCTATAGGCACATAGGCGAATTGCATGATGATTGTGGGGAGTGTGGTGCTCTCCGAGCTCTCAGGTATGCACAGCGCCTTGGTTCCTTGCTTCGAGTAGGCCAGCTTGGCAGCTGAAGAATGGTCGAGTTCTGAATAGTTTCCAGTCAGGTGGGCGCATTTTACTAGTTGCCGGACGCTCAACATGTCAGAGTCATGGCTTGGAAAATCAAATGACCCTGATCCAGGGCGTCCAGTACGACCAGAGCAAGTTGCCATACGATCGTTGGCCTGCCAATTTAGAAACCTACACATCAATGGGCTTTGCACACGTTGGCGGAAAATGACAGGCAAAAGATACAACCCACCACCTTTCAGTGCACGGGTCCAAGTGCATTCGAATATTTTTTCAAGGTGCCGTTTTTTCATTATTTATGTTTGTTGATGATTTCATTCGAGGACAATTGCGCATTGCCATTGATGGCCTAGGTGAGTAAGGAGGCGATCCAAAGACTGTTTCCGGACTGGCAGGGTCGAGGGGCCGCCGGTTTGTGCTTGCATGCAGTGGTGCATCTCGCCTCAGGAGCCCTCCTGGTCCGTAGCTTTGCTAGAGCTTGAGCCTTGCAAGGATGAGTTTGCCTTGGGCCCCAAGTGCACAGCTGCAAGTTTGCAAGCACCGCATGTGAAACTCCTTGATGCACCCGCTGTGCTACCATGCATGCAACATTTGGCTCACCAAAGTCACAACTCGTGAAGGCACCGGAAAACAACCCGAGGTGAAATTCAGGAAGTTGTCGCATAGCTCTCACCTTTGGCGGTGCGAAGTACCTAGACCTACACTATTCAATTCCTTCGCACCGCTGTCTCCTGTCACTCCTGTCACGTGCCGTACCGCGTGCCGTCTCACCCTTTGGAGCCTGGCGGAGCCGCCGAGCTTCACCGGTCCATCGGTCAGGTCTGGTCACAGCGGGGCGAGTAAACCTGAGGTCCCCTCCACACACGGCGATGACTCCGTGATGACTGCCACACCTGACAAACAAAGTGTTAATTGGTGGCAATGTCCCTGGAGTGTCACAGATCGTGAATCTAGGTGTCATGCTTCCGGCAAGTTAAAGATACCACAGCATTTAAGTACTTTTTGCCCAGAGCTTGCTGCCGAAAAAGCACCCCACCAGATTGGCCAGATCCGGCCCTTGGACATGTATGTCCCGCCATTTGCATCACTGCCTCCACTGTCTGATAAGCGAAGCCGGGCATGGGCCAGCGCCTTAGGCTTTTTTCTACGTGCTTGCTCATTGGCTTGCATGAATCACCAATCACCGCATCGTAATGCTAGGTCACTTGGCTGCTAAGTACTTATATACTGCCTTACTGCCTCAGGGACTTTCCTTTTTTGAGGCTCGTCATTTGGAGAACCGGCTACGGGGACTGACTGAAGAGCCAACGAGGCGTTGGACATAACCGTTCCTGAATCCTACATAAGTTACGATGATTCTTACAGGTCATACCATACTGAAGCAATCTCGATCATACAACATCCACTTCTTCTACCAATGCCGCACGAGTGGGTAGGCATGGGTTTAGATGGAATGGATGTGCACCAACTCTGGAGGAAACATCTTCCAGCGGCTCACTTGACGCCTCTACTTGCTGGTGAGCCACTCAGTGTTCGCTGTACGACTCTTCGGGCCGGGACGGCCGTGACGCGCCACGACAGAGGCCGCCACGCGCCAAAGGCGACAGAAGTGCCCAAAACGCTCTCCGGCTGCAAGGAGAGAAAGGGAATGGAGTATGTAGTATGAAAGTGAATCAGTTCTACAGAGATTAGAGGCAATTGGAACCTTTGACCTTTAGGAACAGACTTCAGATTATACATTCACAAATTCTGTGTTTCAATCAAATTACGTGTGTATTAACAGCATACATGCCAATGCCCTGGGTTGGGTATGTTGGGCGGAAGGAATAGCAATTGATTTCAGCTTTTCTTGACACTTGGGCAGAAAATCTCACAAAATGGTTTTCTTAACACTTGGGCACTTGGGTTTCATTGTGTTTATTTGGTGGCACTGGCACTCACATAATCAGCCTCTCGATAAGCAACCAGACATCAGCTGCTGCGTTTGCCAAGGGCCCTTCGACAACAGAAGCGGCCCTCCATTAGTCGAACGCGCAAAGCCGGAGACTCAGCCGCGTTCAATGCAATCCTCCAAATGTTTTCACTCGAATGTGTGAAACAGTCAGCACGTGAGCCGAGCCAAGAGTACTGTATGCGGACCCTCAGTCCTCCACATGTTACATATTCCATGTTTCACATACACCAGCAGATGTCTTGCACTTTTGCTTTGGCTGCCGCAGCCGTTTAGCATCGCTGGCTTGGTGCAAAGAGGCCTGTTATGACATCCGCTAGCCAGCCATGCAAGAAGCAAAGAGTGGAGGGGCCAAGTGGGCCCAGTGTCCTGACCTTTTTTCCCAACGGCACCTTCAGACGAGTTCCTGGAAGCTCCAATGAGAGCTCTGAGGTTTCAGTGAGAGAAAGAAAGCAGATCACCACAGTCTTTTCAGCTGATGGGAGATTTGTGCACTTGCAGAAACCCTACACAGAGGTTGAGCCTCTCAAGACGGGAAACTCGGCGAATGCAGACGAAGAGTGTGCAGGAGATCAAAGAGTGCAGGTATGGAGCATCGGAGGTCCAGAGAATCCATTCGCTTCCCCTGCGCCAAAGTCTTGGCTTGAATCTCGATTGGAGAGAGCAAAGTCTCAACCGCCTCCAATCTCCAAACGGGATGCAGTGGCGACAGCGGATACAGTGCAGCCACCAAACCCGTCCGCGGATGTCATGGTAGAACTGCGAGTCGCTCAGAAAAGCCCTCATGCCATCAGTGAAAGTGCAGCACGTTTGCGAATCAATGCTCCCTCGGCAGAAGTCCTGGACAAGGTGCTGACCGAATCCATGGGCAATTTGCTGTCGGTGATCAAACCTTCACTGTCTTAGCTGAAGGCGACCTATCTGAATCGATGACACTAGACTAGACGCGCTAGACGGATGGACGTGTCGCTGGCCAGACTTCTTGCACAGAAGTTATAGAGCCTGAAAAAGCACTTCTTTGTACATATGAGGCATGCCTGTTGGCACGTAACAGCAGATCCGCGCTTGAGGAAATTGTTGGAGATGCTAAGTGCCATTGAATGCAATTGAACTCCTTTGAACCTTCTCAGCCCTCGAAACATAGATTGACATCACTGAGGTGGCCGACAAGTCTCGGCGGAAAGGTCAGTCCTTGGATGTAAGGCACGGGCCGGGCTCAGGGTTCTGCAGCGGCTGAGCTGCCAGACCGTTGATTCCAGGCCCCGCCGCCCACCGCGAGAAATGCCCCCATGGCGGCCTGGAGGCTGGACTCTTTTGGAAATCCATGTTCTTTCAGGATGAGACCATGGACTGAACCTTGCCACTTTGAATCTTCATTTGAGACTTAGCTATGGAACCAGCAACCCATGCACAGCAGCAGGTGCGACAAAGGGGCTTGCAACCAGCAGTTTCAACCTGAAACGGCAGGGTCCTGAGTCAGATGCTGCAATGCCAAATAAATATTTGCAGTTTTCCACTTTTGGACGGACATCAAGGTCAGCAAAAAGCCTAGTTCGACCGCAGACATCCGTTTGCCGCCTGAAGCACAGTATTCGTGGGGGTCGGGAATGACCAGATGACAATTCTGGAAACCTTTCCCAGGGCCCATCCAAGTGTAGTGAGAACATCGCCGCAAGGTTCTGCAAACACTTCGATTGGCGTTCGGGAACCCAGCTTCGAATCCATACACCTAGCTGTATTGTGCAAACTTCGCGACGAATTGGGCCGCAGGGAAGACAGCCCAAAGCTCGGCATAGCATCGACTGGCTGGGGTGCAGCACATCATCTTCGTATGACCAGCCCTCAGCGTTCTCCTGCAAAAGATTCTGTGGTCACAGGTTTGCCATATTATCTGAATCCAAACAAATGAAAGAAAAAGGAAAAAGAGGTCTAAGGTGACGGTCCTTAAAAGAGACACGCACCGGATTTGTCATGTGTTCACTCTTTGCATGCATGGTTGGTGGTTGGAAGGATAGCGCTGACAGAAGGCACTCTGATGGCCCATGCACTCAGAAAAGTGACAATCTTCCAACACTCACTTTGTAGCTTGTAGCTACCTGCTGTTCATATTCTCCAGCTTGAAGCCTGAAGGTACTTATGGGGGCGCGTCGCTTGCTCAGCAGCAGCATTCCACATATGAATACAGATGGTATTGGGCTGCTGGCTTTGTGATTTTCATATTTTTGCTTGCTTCTGAGGAGGGGGCAAGCAACCCTGCATGGGTCTCAAAGCAAAACCTCACTGTTCGAATCTGTTCGAGTTCCAACAGTTTTTACTGTTGTTGCGCTTTCAAGCATTCAAGGCTGCCACTTCCGGATGCTGCACTTGCTAGGGTGGCTACTGGGGAGGCATTTCTTGCAAAACCTATGTCCCCATTGCATTTGGAGCAATTTGTTTAAACGCCAGTCACTTGATGTTCTGAGTACTCTTGAAAACGCAGGGAGGCTCGCAGGAACCTCTCATTGAGGGCCGGTGCCTCAGATCATGCAGACAATATATGAGATGATAATCTCTGACCCCAAGAGAAAAAGAGAAAGAGAGAGGGAGAGAAGGAGGGAGGGAGACAGAGGGCCCGCTCTGGTTTACACTTTATACGGAATATATTTATGGTATATACTTTACTTTACCGGTACCTGCCGGCCTGCTCGTCTTCGAGCCAAACCCCCAAAGCTTTGTGCCCACAGGAGGCTCTGCTCGACCCAGCCTGCCTTTGGTTCCTTCTTTCGAGGACTGAACGTGGCAACGTGAACCATAGTATACTGTCCTTACTCCTGCCTGATGGGAGGCCCGAAAGCAGGTTGCAGAAGAAGCACGACGCAAGTCGGCGAGGGATTTAGCTAGAAGGACTTTAATTCGGAGTCTTTTCGTGTCAAATGATCAAACGCAGCTTGTGCAGTACTCGTACAAAGTTGTTCATTGGTTCAGTTTCGTGATGTTTCGTGTGTTCTTGTGTTTGTTTATGTTATGGCTTGTTTCTTACGCCCGTCCAGGAGGCGTCTCGAAGCCCTTGAAGAAGCAAATCGGCGAAGGGAGAATCGGCGAAGAAAGCTCCACAACCAGGCGGACACTGCGAATCGGTGAAGCGAAAGGGTGACGAAAGATGCAACAAACAAATCCATGTTGGAGTCTCTCCACGGTCAACTTGGCCTGGGCTTCATCACTGTCATGGTGATGGATAGGCTGCATTGTTTTGGGTGTTCATTTCCACCAACGCACCAACGCGACGCTCGAATCGGCGCTTCCAAGGCCAGGCGCCTTCAGGTGTTGCGACAGAAGGCACGGTTCACCTTACATCACCACAGAGATCCACAGAGCATCTCATTGTTGGAGGCCATCGCTAGTAGGTTAGAGGCCATGGCTATTAGGATGGTATATAACTTTATAGGTCATATTGCCTTAAGGCTCTCGAAGCTGAAGCAGAGCAGGAACATGAAGATACCGAGGACGCTGAAAGTGTCAAACGATTGAATGCTGTACGCTAAATGCATGCTATCATTTGGATCTTAGCCAACTCAGCCTCATGACCAAGCCCTAAGTCTTGGATCGTCTTGGTGTATTTCCACAAAAAACAGGCGAGCACATGCTGACCGGCACTCGCTATGGCTCAAATCCTACGAAGTGTGAGAGCAAGGTCGCCTGGCCTAGTTCTATACGCTAGGAGTCCATGTTAACCGGCTGGACATGTGCCTGTGGCTTCCGAAACCGTGAAGTCAACTCAGCTTGTGGTGGATCGGGACCTCTAGGATGCAAGGCAAGCCGCCCAGGAAGCCGCCCAGGCCTTTTGGGCGACACTGACACCGACGGTGACCCGATGCGTTTAAACGAGGTTCCCGCTCGCTGTGCTAAGACACTGCGGATTTTGACTTACAACGTGTGGTTCAGCCCAATCGATCGGGAGATCCGCATGGCGGCCCTTGCGGCGATTCTGGAGTCGGTCGACGCAGACGTGATTGCTTTGCAAGAAGTGACCAGCACTATATTGGAACTACTGATGGGTCACCTCTCCAGCGAGTGGCAGGTCTTTAAACAAGAGCCTGCTCATGTGGAAGACCTGTACTTTTTTGAAGCAAACTACTTCACGTGTTTGCTAGTAAAAAGAACTTTGCAGGTTGAGGAGGCTGCTTGTTTTCGTTTCTCCATTACTGCCATGGCTCGAGGCTTACAGCTGGTAGTCTTCTCAATGAAAATTGAAGACGAAGGAATGCAAACACCTGAAAGAAGTTACCATAAAATCATCGTGGCAACCTCTCACTTGGAATCTGCCGTGGCATCCCGTTCTGGTCAAGATACGCGAGCTCACCAACTATCTGAAGGACAGGTTGGACAATTCATATTCCATTGCATGCTGTTGCATTGCAATGAGCAATAATGACAGCCGTGTTTAATCTTTGTTTATGGTCGTTTCATATTGTTTTCACGAAGCCGATTTGGTATACAGCATTTACACTCTCAAGGGGCTTTCGGTTAGTCAGTCACGAGGAAAGAGAAGTCCCCAGCACTAGGAAATGACTGTACTGTATGTATGTCAGTATACATGTTTAGATCTACAAATGTGTGTAGATCTCCAAATATGCACCTTCAAATATGCACTTCTCCAAATATGCACCTTCAGAGCAATACCTGGTCCATGTTTACCTTATTTTGTCAACTCTTCTCAACCTTCAACAGCTGTCATGTAAGAACAAGAAGGCATGCATGTGAATGTGTTCTTTATGTAATTCAGCATTCTGGAGGACTCCATGAGATGACCAGAATGATGGTGGAGAAAGATTGCGATGCCGCCATTTGGCTGGGCGACATGAATTGGATCTCTGACGAAACTGAGAGAGATGATATGCATCTTCCAGATGGCTGGTCTGACCTGTGGAGGGAAACGATTCCACCAGAGACGCCAGGTTTCACATTTCACGCGAACCAGGGAAGTACACATGCCATGCCTGCGCGACTGGACCGGATTCTTACCAGAGGACTGCAAATATCTGGCTCTTATGTTGCTCGACTTGGGACAGTAAAGATTTCCGGTGCAAACAGCTTCCCCAGTGACCATTACGGCTTGTTCGCCATATGCTCGATCTAAGATTTTGAGGAAATGACTTAACAATCGTGAAAATGGGCAGCAAACAGAGTAAGCTGCAGTACGTAGAAGATTGACAGGGAAGAAGGCCGACCAAGAGGTGTTCCCGCTGCTACCCGCTGAAGCTGAGATGTTGGAAACTGCTTTTGCAGTGGTTGTGTGATGGAGCTTTCTAATTCGACGCCATGGTGCAATAGGTGTACAAGTTCACAGGCTCCCAAGCTTGATGATTTCTGCTTAATATTGCCTGTCACGGGCCTGCCACAGTTAGGTTCATTGGGGTTCTTGAAGCGAAATCGCTGGTTGCCATTCGCATGCTCGATGGATCTGGACAAAATTTGGCCGAGTGGTATGCATGCAACTCCACATGTGTTTCTCGCTGTGGGCGCTGTGGCCTCTTCAGGAGGAGAACTCGCCACACAAGCAGGACCTAGCTAGGGACGATTCTAGGAACAAGAAGCTACTAGGGGCTCCTGGCATCGCTACTAGGAGCAAGGATGCTGCTAGAGGCTCCTGGCATCGGTGCATCGGCTGCCCGATTTCAGAAGGAAAGACGGTGGGTGCGACCGCTCCATCTCTCGGTGCAGGAAGGAGAGCGGACCATCAGATTTATGCCGCCCTGTGACGACAGCTCGGGAGGCTCAGTGGCTATGTAATTGTGGCATGCCATGCCGGTGATGCCCTTTGTCACTAGTAGCTTCTTGTATCTTCTTGTTACTAGTAGTAAGGCCAGGAGCCCCGTCCTTGCTCCTAGTAGCGATTCCAGGAGCCCCTAGTAACTTCTTGTTACTTGTTAAGTTTCCCAAAGAATCTACAAATCAAACATTCGTGCGAGCGCTCCTTCAAGCAAGCTCCCGCCTTCTTGAAGAAGCGTGAGCTATCCTGCGTCCAGTATGTACAGTAGTAGCTTAAGTATATATATATGGCTAGTAGCTACCCCCTCTAGCGGCCTACTACCCCCCGCGGGGCTTAAAACAGAACAGTTTTTATGATAAATGCGTTCAACATTTGCTCAGCTCACAGGCTCCGATCCGGAGAGTTCTGAGTCATCACAGGACCGACAGAACAACCGTGTGGTGCGACCAACAACCGTTTTTTGGAGCGATGCCCAACACTTGAGGATGAGTATGATGGGACACGAGACCCACTTCCGGTCAGGCACTGTGCGGGGCTCCTTTCCTCCGGTTCCCTTCACCTTCCTTTTGCAAAGAGATCCCAACTGCCAGTAAGTAATTGGCGATTGTAGCAACTGTGTCAGGTTGCCCTTGTGGTATCCAGACGATCAGCCCTTGCAGAGCTCTAGCCCTTTTGGCCGGGAACTGTCTAAGTTTGTATATATAAGTTTGCGCAACATGTGCATAAGGCCCCTTGGGGTGGCCACCGAATCTTGCTTGCGCCCGAGGAGTTGCAACGGGCGAGCTTCCGCTGAGTCATTTGGTGCCGCCGGCACCCACCGCCACGCATCATGGCAAGATATGTCACTTCTTATCACAGGAATTCCAAGCTCTTGCCAAGCCAAAGCCATAAGTAGATTAATGGATTTGACCTACTCGCAAGACTTTGTGGAAGTATGCTCTTCAACTCAGGTGTACTGGACATGACAAGGTGTCCATTTCTTGGCAGCTGCAGGGTACCAGGCACTGTGATGTATGTGTGTTTGTGTGTGTGTGGGTGGGTTGACCAAATCTGCTCGATCCCGATACTACAAGTGTTTTATTTCATTTGTTGTGATTGTAGCGAGGTACCATGGTTCGTCTCGGTGTTGGCCCATAGTCGCCCTTTTCAGTGTTGCGTGCCTCCCCCACTTGCAAGAGCTTGGATTTGTAATCACGATTACAGTATTAGATAAGCATTATGTAAGGGAAGGACTGGGGGTTCACATCAGCGATTGGTTCGGATTTCAGAACAAAATAGTTTAGGGATGTTTAGGGGACATGCTGTACGCTTTTTCCAGTGCTGTGCTGAAGAGGCTCCTGGATTTCACCTGGCAAGTCCGAGTACGTGCTGCACCAGATGCTGAGTGGCAGAAGGCCAGCCATGAAGCTGAGGCTACCAGTAACTGCTACTGTAGCTGAAGGTAAGGTACCTGCTGATTGTAAAAACTTTAAGGTTGGATGTTCAAGGTCTAGTTCAATGACAGTAGGAGATCGCTGGTGGCATTTGTCGCTCGTGGCATTTTGCTTTGAAGAAGAGCTTGGATTCCAAGGTGTTGCAGTCTCGCAAACCTGGCAGGTGGACCTGGATTCAGGGCGTATCGAAGCCCCTGAAGTTACAACTTCGTTGGTGACCAAGCAGTCTCATCCATGAAGAATACAGCAATCAAACTGCTCCAGAATACTGACTCGACGCATACGAAGGTCCTGGAAGCACCGAGCATGTTTGGTGCAGAAGGGTTTGAAGGCACCTGCCCTTTTGTAGTGTGTCATTGTGTGTGACTTCTTCCATGTGATGTTGCAAACCTTACGAACGTGTTGAGGTGCTCAGCTTTTGCGTGGAGGAGGGCCGAAAAAGTCAACGGCCAATTCCAGGCAAAAGACCGCACCAATGCTTCTGACAGGGTTCAGCCTTGCCGCTTTCAGGCACTGTCGTCTCTCACTACCCTGGCCTGGTCACTGTGCCCCAGCCGCACTCAGAGTTTCTCCCGCGGACGGTGCCCAAATGACATGCAAAGAAATGTAATACCTTTCAAACATGTGTGGGCGGACGTGGCTGCCTCACTGCCTCCCGTGTTTCCCTTTCTGTAGGAAAGGAGACTTGTGACTTGTCTCACTGTTCTGAGACTTTTTCGGTTTGAGAAAGCTTCGGAGAACGCGTGGCAGGTGGATTTTGAGCTGATTGGAGGTCAGATCCTGCGACAACGCGTCCCACAAGACTGGGTGTTGCTTGCAGCCACTTCACGCGAGATCAAGGCCACCGTTCGGATGTCAACAGTTGAGCCGAGCCAGTGGCATTTCGTGGCTATTTGTTTAACTATATATATATATGATATATGTGTGTATATATTGTTTATAATTTAGGATTCTTTATTCTATGTTTGTTCCTTCATTGGCATGCCCCCTGCTTGGCCCAAGGATGTTGCATGGAGTTTGCTCGAGACAAGGTGGCCTGACATGACAGCTTTTCTCAAGATATGTTCTGTTCACCTGAGGTTTGGAGGTCGTGGCGGAAGGCGCCACAAAGAGCATGGCTTTCCCTTCTTTGTTTCATCTTGTTTCTGTTTCATTCTTCAATTCTTCAAATGCAGGAAAATTGTATACTGTAAGTGATTGCACTAACAAAGAGAGGAAGTCTATATTGTGCATTTCTGGCTGAATTGTGAGTTGGCCTATGCGTGGCACTACAGCTAAAAGAGCACCTGACTCGCCGTCTCACGGCGCCCGCCTGCCATTTGAGAGGCGTTTGTGGCGAGTGGCTAAGAACAAGGTACGGCCACTGGGGAGGAGGAGGACGGAGGGCACAGAGGCAGCCAGGAGTGGTTTCCGTTTGTTTACAGCTCCCTGAATTAAGTAGACGCCTACTGAAATATATAAGTAAGGACATTAGCAATAGAAAGTTCCTAGCATCTCCTAGCTAGGGTGCAGGACACGCACGCACTCATGATTTGGCTCCTAGATTTTCAGATAAATTTACACTAGTGATAGCTTTTTGTATGAGGCTCGGCCTTGGCTCCGAAAAGCCCGCAGGTCTACGAGCGCATCATTCGAACCCATCGCCAGTGCGCGGTCCTGTGGAAGCAGCGGGTCAGGAGCCCAGGGGCGACTTCGTCGGACGAAGAAGCGCCTTTTCGACGCAGATTTGATGCAGTTTCTCCAATGGGGACGTGAGGGGGATTCAAGGTGGAGCTTCCGGAGCCTGGGTGTCGCGTCTCCATCAATTGTGCCATGGGCCTTCAGGCTCAGGGTGGCCACCTTCAGCTCAGTTGCATGTTTTGAATGTCTCCCAGCCTTTCCAAGTGGAGGTCATGGATCATGATGAAAAGGAGGACCAATCAGATTCCAACCCTGAGCCGGGAAAAGCAGTGCTGCCCGCGCACCATACACCCTACTGTACAACGTAGTGCAACAACACTTGGGCTGGAGGACTTCTCACCGGATGGGAGTAGAACCACCAGGACAAGTGCATCACGAGAGGGCCGGGCGGCCGCGCGAAGTACCTCGACGGCAGCAAGTCGAGTGAAGCACATGAATTTCTTGATGTTTCTTGCCAAGATTGTCCGACGAGGTATCAGCTCCTGGTGGCCAGCGGTTCTACCAGTGGAGGTGGACATGCAAGTAAGTCAGATGGACATGCAAACCATGTATATTATATGCATATACGGATACGCATATACATATACATATATGAATATGGCAATTAAAGGGGACAAACTGGTGAAGGCAGTCGAAATGCCGTAAGGGTGCACATATTGTTTTACATTGTTTTACTATCACGTTTTTACGTTGACTAGGAACAATTCAGATACATCGCTCCCCTCAGAGAAAAAACTTTGGCCGGCGCTTACATGTGAAAATAGAGATGCCACCTGTGGCCTAGGCCGAATATGATTTGCGACAGGGCACCGACGTCCCAGAGGCGTTTGAACGTTTGGGGTGCTTTGGTTTATTTGTTTTGAGTGGTGCCCACTTCAGGAGCTTTGTACTCGCGCAGACTTGAAGGTCCATTTGGAGCCCTATCCACGGGTCCAGGCGCATCGATCATCGAGGTATACCAGTGCATACTCACGCTTGGACTGCAGTGATATGCACTGATTGAATCAGGTGATCCCCAGGCATTGGATATGCGAGGACACGACCTCTGAGCCAAAATGTAAATCAACAAGTTGATACAAGTTGTCAATATTTTCAATGACCCTTAGATCAAGTGGACACGCGCAAGGAGCTACCAGAATCAGAGAGAGCCAAGAGGAATATTTGCATAGGGCATCTCGCTGCAGATTAGCTGGCAAATGCTGGACCATCATGACACAAGCTCAATGATTTCGATGTGAAGGTTTCACTCAGTGAGTGCCTGCCCTCAAGTAAGCAATCATGTGCCATACCATGTGACAGGCAGTCTGTGCTTGCGTACTACGTCAGGGTCCCAGGGCCTGCGGATGTGAAGACCCACAACACTTGGTCCAAATGTTGTGAGGCGGTGAGCGCGGTCGGTTCGGAAGATGGGGGCGAGGCGGGGACAACGGTGGCCTTTGCCTCCAGGGCTAAGGCCAAGAGCCCCCTCTTGAGGTTTGGGGCGCGCATCCTGAGCCTCGAGAGGCGCTGGGATTGAGACTCCGCACTTGCCAAGTCCGCAGAATACCACAGTTCCCGACCAAGAGCAAGAGCGATTTCACTCATTCAACTGGATTTCTGTGACCTCGGAGTTGAATGGATTCGACATGATTCGACAAATTAGCCGAAACCCATGTGCAATCATTTGAGAAGTTTACTGTAGTGCAAAGGGCATCGCTATTAGGAGCAAGGACGCTACTAGTAGCTCCTGGCATTTCTACTAGAAGCAAGGACGCTAATAGTTTACTGGTGATACTGCTTTGTGCAGGCTGGAGATGTCACACTGCAGTTTGGCGGTGCTCACATGACAGAGAGACCGGATTCTGAGGACAGGTTTGCTCAGGCCTCTTGCAACTGTTTTTTGATACGCAATGAAACAAGGGGCGACATCATACCAGATACATACATGTATTCATGTGTATGTATAAATATATTTATATATAGAGAGAGATATATATATATTTAGTAATATTTACAGTATATACATATATACATACACACCAAACAACCACTGACTCACTGATCTATGAGCAACATGTGCTTGAGGCTATGTGACTGGTCCCACTTCCTTCTTGACAATAAACCACCCATCACCAGTTTGACATATTTTGACTCTATTATACGCATTTGTTACGCCTTCTTTTAATGCTTAGATCGGCACCTGTCTGGCAGGCGCGGAAGACGTTCTTTGGAGCCCGGGAGGTGCAGCACAGATCGGAACGAGCCGTGCGGAGCAAGGTCTTGAGGCAAGTGGCGGATCAAAGTTCACATTGATGGCAGCAAAGTTCATTGCTCCGTTTGTAATTCGATTGGGATGACAGGGAGCTCATCTCACCTGCTGAAGTTTATGTCTATCTTCAATGCTACCTGGTTGCTCTTAGCCTGCAGTGGAAGATGATGCCCCATGCACAGATGGCTCAGGCATGGACAGACGGAAGCCCGTGAGGGTACCTTTAGCTTCGATATGGTCTGCCCACTGCTGAGCGAATTGACCTCATTGACCAGCAAGCTTTGCATGTTGAATTTGGCTTGCCATTGTCTTGGGCTTACATTAAGACGGTGCGTTTCCTTCTGCCCTGTTTGCCCGCTTTGCTGGCATGTGGCTACTATTCAAGTTGCACAAGGTGCAGCCAAATGAGCCCACTCGAAGAACAGTGCGAAAAAGACGGAAGGCTGAGATCAATTCAATATCTGAGAATTTATTTAGCACGGGGCTAGTTCCACGGGGAGGGCTTACTTTGAGGCTGTAATCGCATGCGAAGTGCTGTAGAAAGACTGCATGGCATGGGGAGGTGCTGGAATGGATGGTGATTCGAAGTGCTCGAGACCGTGCTGCAGAGGTACCTTTCCTGGTCTCTCCTGGAAGCATGTGGAAATTGTTTGAAAGCAAATCTCAACAATAGCGCGCAACAGGAGTTGTTAACAACCATCGCAACTCTCCTTTGCCCCTCTGAATTGTTTGATAGGTTGTCGCACGACAAGGCTCTTCAGCAGGCCCCGGGCTTGGCAAAGCAAGGCAGGTGTTACCATAGGGTCTTCAAGGCTGGCATAGCTTCTTGTTACTAGTAGCGTTCTTGTTCCTAGTAGTACCGCCAGGAGCCCCTAGTAGCTTCTTGTTAGTTAAGTGGCACCAGGACTCTACCATCCAGCCTATGGATATCTTTGGGATGAGGCCGGATGAGCACGGTGCACCGACTCGGGACTAGTCAAGTCACAGCGCCATTCTCGTCCCGAGGCCATTCCGCTCACTCCTGGGGTGAAGGTGCAGCCCTAAGCTACAGCTCTGGGGCCTTTCAAGGGCCTTCCCTGGGTTTTCTTTCCCTGGGGGTCTTCAAATGCCTTCAAGTCATGTTTGCGTGTTGTGCTTTTTCAACAACAGCTACCCTGTGCCCTCAGGTGTCTTTCTTCTCGCTGCCCGGAAGGGGAGATGCCACGACAGCAAGTGCTTGACCCTTAACATCCGAGCTATCATCCCTAGATGCTAAGATATGCTAAGTATAAGAGTAACATCATTAGGTGTATGATTCACCAAAAGATATCCCTTATCCTTAGATCCCTGTTCATTCTAACTTGTTGAAGTCTTCGCCCAGGTTGCATCACTCGCATCGCCGGGGGGGTTTGCCTTTCGGCGACTTTCCACCGGGACGAGCTTTGGGCGAAACAGCTGTTTCGGTGCGAAGATACACGTGTTTCAGAGATGGCACCATCCACAAGTTTGTCTATTTGGACAATGGGCATTGAGCAATCGAGTGGAGACAGGGACCCATGCACGTACAGAGCAGACGGCAGCCGCATGTAGGATACGAGCTCCCAGGACAACCCGTAACTCGCGAAATCCATAGAGCCATAGAGAACCGAAAGTGACATGAGTTCAAGTCCATGAATTTGGATTGAGTTTCGGTGGGGATGATGCCTCGGAGGTTGACTACATATCCGCATAGGGTTCCTGTCCCCTAGCAAAATCTATACTTGCACCATGTCCTCGGTCGAGTGGATGCTTCTCGCGGCGCCCACGCGCACCGAATGTTTTTTCCGGCTTGCCGGTGCAGATAGATATATAGATAGATACATACATACATAGATAGACAGATAGATAGAGAGATAGATAGATAGTTAGATAGATAGATAGATAAATTCTATATGCTGCTGACTCATGACGTCGCCTTTTTGCTGGCAGCCCTGGCCGAATCCAGTCAGCCTGGGTCCACGGCCCAAAGATCTACACACGCAGGTGCCAAAGTCAAGGCCTCTGAGTGGGAAAGGCGCAGAGTTGATAAGATAGAGAAGAATAAAGAAGGTGTTTGGATCGTTTAGTAAAGGCGCCTTTAAAGGAAAAAGGCTGTGTTTTGGATCGAGCCAGAACATGACTCACTCAAGTCCAGGCATGTGCATCGATAGGGGCACAAATCCTCACTCCTTTGCGCCCATGGCACTCTCACTGGACCCCCCTTCTGTATCAAACGTCTGTGTCCCGGCTAAGACGTGCCCGTTCACTCTTCCAAATCAACACATGCCGCTTTTCGACGTGCCGCAGTATGCGTTGCAAACTTCAAACACTCCAAATGTAGAAAAAAACATAATTTAAACGCATGCCGTACTCGCGCGCGCGGCGACGCTCACTATGGAGGTCTTTCTGCGCGCGCGTGGTATCCCACCACCGCTAACACTGATGTCGCCTTCCAACTTCCATAAGATGCATACATTCCTGCGTGTGACAAACACATGCCATTGCCTTGTGATATCTTGTGATGATGACCTACACCAACATACAACGTATGGCATTTCTCTTTCACTACTTCTTTCATACCAAACTTATCCCAACGCCGCCCGGCTTGCTTCTCTGCTCCCTCCATCACCATCCCTGGCACCGCTGACTCGCAAGCTGCCGACCATGTGTCTTGTGTTGCGACGCCCGCCAGGAAAAGAGACACTCGTCTGGCGGCTGCTGGCTTTCGACCCCCCCTTCTCAGGTATATAGAAGAAACTTGTTGCGGTGCCAGTGCCAATTATTCTGAAACCACTGGAAGCACTTTGTGTCCAGTACTTGTTTTGACTGGGCGTCGTTGGCCGTGCAGGACAATTGTTCGCACTGTCGCTTGCGACCGAGCTTGGGTCAAGGCAATGTGAGTGGACAATACAGTTGTGTTGAGTCACTGAGTGAGCTGTCACCACGCTAAAGTGGCATCCAAGGCCAAAGTGTCTCACTATGAGGTCCTGTTTGACGAGGCCAGGAAAAACAACTGGGCTCAAGCAGCCCTTGAGCTGAAGATGTGCGATGTTCCAGCTGAATCTGTTCCAAAGAGAGGTGGTCCCTGAGAATCGGTGGATCTCGGCTTTTAACGTGGGGCCATGTCCTTAATTCAGACCGAAAGAAAGCACACTTGCTTTGAGGGAAGCAAGCTTCAAGCAAACCCTATAAGGCATCACTTGCAACCTGATGGATCTGTACAAAGGCACTGTGTCTATTCTATTCGCTTTTTGAGCCTGTACACATATTTACACATATTGACACTTGTCCGATCATGAGCAAGAAATACGGTTCTCAGTCTCACATGCATCACTCGCAGGGGCCTTTTGTTGTTTCCAATGTCTTGTAGTGCACCCTAATCCCGAAGTGGACCCGCATGCGTCATTCAAGAGCACTCGGACTTGCTGCAATACCTTGAGGCCACAGCATGCATGAAGTCAGCTTCCCTCACTGTCATTTGTTGCAGATTTGCAGATCCGCGATATCCATCCCAATTTGTCCTTAGAACGAATGGGTTTCGTTTCTTTTGATCTTTACTCCACTCGAAGTTGCTACCTGTTCCGCATCAATCTTGCAAAAATATACCCTTTAATCATTGTAATCAATAAATAAATCATTTGTCGGCCCTAGCCATGGCGACCCTGTTGAGAGGCAGTGTGAAAGGCAGCCTCAACCGCTTTCACTTGAACCAACTCTCGAGACAACCGAGCAGGTTGACTCAATTCCAAGACGGCCTGGAGATAGGCAAGAAGTGTTCAAACACTTTCGTCCCAGCTTGTGTAGGCATTCTCTTCCTCAGCTTGCGCACCAAAGTGTCAAGACCACTCTGGCTGGTCACGAGGGGATGTGGAAGCGTGAGTGTCATCGATGTCGACTCGTTCCCCTGGGCCTACGGTGTTGATGCCGAGGTACCTCTCTCACCAAGGTATTTGGCCAATGAACTGGCCACTTGTTTAGTGAATGCCGGAAAAGCTGCCGAGCACACTGAGGCCATGCCCCTGGCCCACGAGCTTTTAAACAATTTGTCCAAGGAATTCGGATATATCTTGGCTCTTGGCTCCAAAGATCGAGCTGGAAGGCTAGATGGGCTTATGGATTTGAGCTCACCTGAAGGTAACCCCTCTCGCGAGTTGAGAAGGCGATTGCATCAAGCGCTGGACAACATGGTCAGATGGTTTGCACATGATCCTGTAACACACTTGGCCGATTTTAGTGTGGCAGACGCGCGCAGATTCGCAGCTAGGGCAGTGATTCGAAAGCGGCAGCTACGAAGCCTTTGCCAGAGCAGCGTCGCTTTTTCCACAATCCCTCCATCCTTGACGGGGGGTGAAGAAGCAAGTGTGGATGCCGCGGCGGTGCATGGTTTGAAGACATGGAGCAAGGCATTCAAGGAATGGTGCTTTGAAACCATACGGCATTATTTTCTTTTGGATCGTGACTTGCGGACCAAATGGCTCACTGGAAAGCGCGAAGAGAGATTCAGAGTGACTGTGCTGACACATCCCCTGCGACGATTAGTTGAGGAGAGGCACGGCCAGAGCCTGCCCAGGCTTTCTGAAGATGATTGGGTTGTGGCAGTATGCGAAGCCGCCGAAAGAGTTCTTGTTGATCGCCCCCGGATTCTCGATGTGGGCAGTTGCACGAACTACTTTGGGCAACATCATGGAGATGTCTTGGAGGTCACTGCAGTGGACCTGGCTCCAGGCCACTCGTCCGTTTTGGCATGTGACTTTTTAGAGCTTCCTGTTGGTCCTCCAGACTCGGTCGAAATGGAAGGCCCACTGGGTGGACTTCCCGCACGGCACTTTGATGGTATTGTTATGGCTTTATTCTTTTCAGTGTTGCCAAGTCCCCAAGCCAGAGGTGTGGCTACAGCAAAAGCCCGTCAACTCTTGAAGGATTCTGGGCAAGGTCTTCTCATTGTCGCAGACACTAAGGGAACAGTTGGACTGCACAGCAACGAAGCAGCCAGGAAAAGCGAATGGGTGGCTGCAGTGGAAGCAAATGGCTTTAAACTGGCAAGTGATCCGCAATTACACTTGTCCCAGGAGCAGGTCAAAGGGAGGAATGGATATTGGCAGCGTGCCTTTTGCTGGTCTTTTTGGACAGATTCGTCACAGGAAGTGCCCAGCAAGCCAGTTCCCATCCCGGTGATTAGTGACACGAGGAAGCACCGTACCTTGTCTCCTGAGAGGGTGCTTGCACGGCGCTTGCGCGAAGAAAAGCGACAAGCACGTGCGCGCAAAGCTGCGCTTTTGAAAGCTGCCAAGGCAAAATGCGGAGCGGCACCGTGTGCGGGCAAAGTGAATTGCTTTCCTGGGAGCTCCTTGAGATCGGCATTTGATGGCATAAGTATCGGTATTGTATTCAGCTAGCAGATGATGGCCACGCAGCTAAAGAGGCTAAATTGCTAATACATAATGATATGTGGCTCCAACTCCAAATGCCACCAAATCATGCTCCAATGTGAGAGACGGTGCAGCCAGGACCAGAGTAGGCAGTGAAAGGCATTCGGCATCCAAGTGAAGGCTGCGCCGACCTGAGCTAACCATCCACGACCTTCCCGACGAGATGCACAAGATCGAGGCATGTTGATTTCGTGTCATTGAGGCACTCAAAATTCTTTGTATAGGGTGAATCTCTTTGCATTTGCTGGACGGTGTCAGGTGTCTGTCGGTCTTTCTGCTGCATTTGGTGGTGAGAACGTCCACTGGAGCGAGCCAGTCACTCAAAACGGTCGAAGTGAGGGGGCCGGCAAAGCCAGTCATGCAACTCGCACTGAGGCCTAGCCAACCTTGCCGGGTTTTGAAGGCCGGACGTGGCAGAGTGAGGGTGTTGAATCGGACTCTGGCGAATGCTGAGGCAGGTGTCCAGCCCCTGCCGCCCCTTCCGCCAATGTTGACGGTCCTCAGCATCAGCCGAACCTTGCCAAATCTCACGAGTTTAGCTTTGCCTTGGTTTTGGCTTGAGATCCTTTACGGCACACCATGCCGTGACTTCAGAAAAAGATGGTGATTGACCTTGGCCTAGGCGCACACAGCTAATTAATTATGTATGAATATTGTATGATACCATATTGTTAGAACTGAGCCCAGCTGTCATGATTTTTGATGTGTGGCCGTACTTTCGTGTAGACAAGTTATGGCAAGATTGTTGCACCGCACCTGCAAATGGCCTGACTCTGAGGAGCACAGGTTCGCTGGATGCTTCCCAAGGACTCTCCGAAGCATGGCAGTGCCGCTTGTGTGCCAAGCAGTTTCTGCGAACCGGCATGGAAGGAGCCAGCACCTTTGTGCTTCCGCTTGAGGATGCGTGAGCGAGGTTCGAAGGACGGCCGACCTTGGGACGTGATGCTTCACGACACCGTCATCACCCATTTGAGAAGTCGTAGCTTGAATCTTACTACTAGTAGCATCTAGTTTAGTAGCTTAGTAGCTTCTTGCTAGTAATGCCAGGATCTACTCGTGGGGTGCTTGCTAGTAGCGATGCCCTTTGTTACTAGTATTCATACATTTTAGATCTATAAAATTGCATATATATATATATACATTCAATCCATTTCAAGCGGTCCTGGCGCGAGCTAACACCGCATCGCTGACGCCATGGCCTACTGCAGGAGTGGTGCTGCTTAGATTCGTTTGGGCACGCACGCAACGTGCTTAAGAGCGGAGTCTTCGCAGTGTGGCACCATGTCGCACCGGAAGACGCAGCGCTGTGAAAACTCCTTGAGGTGATGAAGACACTACACTGGCCTGGCGGTCACGATTGGTGCCTTTGGCCAATTCCTCAATAGAGTCCCAAGCGAATGACTGGAGATGAGACATGATGAGACGATGTTGCATGACACATAATGATGTGTGTGGTGTCCATGAACGAATGAGCGCGTATATATAACTATGTATAATTACATATAATTACTACATTCCAACTTAATATATGTTGTATAATAAGTTATATAAGCTATAATTAATTAATGCCATTTCTTTATTGGCATACATTAATGTTTGCAGCTTTGACTGTTTGAGGTCGAGGGTGTATGGGTCAGCGCCTTCGGAGACTTTGACCAGCGGAAGTCCTCGACACCAGGGGCAGCTCGAGTACACAGCGTCAGAGCGCAAGACTGGTGCAGAGTGCCGCAAGATGTTCAGAGTGCAGAGTTCTTGCTGCTTGAATTCTTGCTGTACATTTCTTGAGCAATTGGATGTCGAAGCTCTTGGAGTGCTCATTTGTGAACATGCATTCCAGCTTCAAATCAGTCTCCAAGTGTTTCCCTGCCTCTTTCGTGGCTAAGGTCGACTGGGTGACAGGGTCTGTGGAGGTTGAATTTGTCCGACCGCAGGATGATTTTTGTATTGGCACCCCTGCCACGTTTAAGATGTCAGTCACTTTGCAACGTTTGAAGTGCATGCAACACGGTCGTGCACGGATGATTTTACAACTGCCTTGAAGAGGTGGAGTCCCTACCTCGGCCTGGATCCCAGAGTGACACTGAAGTTATCTCTATTCTCTTCTGTTGAAATGTGTGAAGGCTTCTGTTTTTGGCTCACCCTGCCCCAGGTCCTTGCATGCACTCAGTGCTCGCAAAAGTTGGGTCTGGTTCAGGACTAACCATTTCAGCAGTGAATTGGCAGTCTTGGTTGGATTTGCTTGCCCTTTGCAGGACGAACTGCATACGATACCTTTTGCCTGGATTGAGGCCATCACTCAATATCTCTATTTTCAGGTTTCGACACCATGGTGGACACCATGGTGGCACACCAATGCTGCACTAGAAGAATCTACTGTAGAGCCCGACAACAAGTCCATGCAAAATGTGTTTCATTTGCTCCGCAAGTTTTGCCTCCTCAAAAGCGGCGTGGATGTGACGTGACGCGTCGCCATGCCGCTGCGAGTCGAGAGAGTGTCCAGGAAGAGGCCCAGAGAGTTTTCCCCAAATGAACTAGTTAGAACTAGTTCTGTTATATCATATATCCTATTACATGTTTGTAAAGCTATAAACATATTTGCAACAGTTTCTGAAGTAAAAGGGTACCACGTCATACCGGGTCTTCATTCGGAGCTCTCTCTGTCTCCCTCTTCCCAAGTGCAGCTTGCTTCAGGCTTTGTCTTTTTGTTCTTCAGGCTCGCCGAAAGCACCTTGGCAACATCAAGCCATGCGTGCCCTTCAACTCTTGCCCGTTTTTTGGACAGGGTTTTAACATGTTTTAACATCGGTTTGTAATTGAGGCGCTCTGGTCGTACGCCTGTGTTGGGGCCACATAGTGCCGACATTGCATTCCAGCCGCTCTCTTGCAAAGAATATCAAAGATGGATCAAAGATGGGTGAAACGAGGCAGTGAGGTCCACTACAGCACAAGTTATCAAAATTGAGGAGATTGGCACCCGACTTGCGCATCGGGTCGCTGGAGCAGCGGCGACTTGGAGCCGGTGGCAGACAGCCGAAGTGGACGTTTATGAACATGAAAATGCAGTTATTATGTATATAGTCTAGGAGTTTGATCAACCAGTTGAATCAAACTGCAAAATGCCAGCTGACTTGTGAAACTCCGTTCCAGCAAAGGACCGCCGCAACTTGGATGCACAGAAAATCACATTCTTTCGATGGCATGTGACGTGTGTGATGCTGCAACCGTGTGGCTAGGTCAATGGGTCAGGCTATGTCAGACTGATTGGCTGATGTGTTGCAACACCTGCGACCAGGCACAGCGGCAGAGAGTGAGGAGACCCAAGAGTTCATACCTTCAGCGTAGGCTCCCCAGTTGTGTGTGTGCACTGCCTTGGGGATTCTTTTGAATGATTCGTTGAATTTGGATTTTGCTCCCCTAAGGATTGTACCGGATACATTCCCTGAGAAACATTGCGAGACTCATCCGGAGCCCGCTTGGTGGAGATGATTGGGACTGGGAAATGTTGGACTCTGACTTTGAGTCATCAGAAGATGCCACTGGACTTACGCAGCAGCTTTCGGTCCGAAGCACAAACGGATTTTTCCAGATTGCTGGATGTTGCTAGTAGCTGCATGTAGGGTCAAACTATGCCTAGTTCTGAGGTGATGCTTCCTTGTGGGCTTCGGGAGAATGAGGCAGTCAGCATGATGCCCCGTGACTGTAGACACTTTTCAGAGTTCAATGATTCAACGATTTGCTGAGTAACAAGAAGCTACTAGGGGCTCCTGGCATCGCTACTAGGAGCACCGACGCTACTAGGGGCTCCTGGCCGTATTACTAGGAGCAAGGACGCTACTAGGAGCAAGGATGCTCTGGTGTGTCACCGTTCAACGATTGGCACGAGTGTGTAAGGCATCGAGAGCTGACACCAGAGGATTATGAGTCTCTCGGACGCATTGAGTGAAGCACGGTGAAGCACGGTGAACCTGTCGCTTTGCTGTGTTCTTTTGACATCCTTTGGACCAAGGAAGCTTTGCAAGCTTGATGAGGCTGTTCCGACCAGGAATACACTGGAAGAAGGCACTGTTGCCTTTATGCACTTGTGCTCACCTATGGCAGTACCTATGGCATATCCTGTGGAACTGTGGTTTGTTTGAGCAGGTCACGTTGATAATTTGCCAAGACTCTGTGATTGGGAGAAGTCAGACGGCGAATGTGGGGTATGCGTCTAGGCCCAACAAGCGACATCAATTAGAGAGATACTGAGATACCCTCGTTTTCAACACCTTTTTGCCTTTGCCTCACCTGAGGTCTGTCTAACCTCAGCAGTGGCGATGTGGCCAAGCTCCCGTGTGGACATTCGTTGAGCCCTTTGTGACCAGTATAATGTAGAATTGTTAAATTGGCCGCATCTGGACTTGTAATGCACCGTGCAAGGTTCCACGCCCCTTGCATCAAGAAATGGCTGACGCGCTTTGGCTCGCATTTGATTGCACCTGTGTGCATTCGCAGTATTGCTTTGGTTCGCCCTGTGGGATTTCAAGTTTTATATACCCGAGTAAACTTGATCCCCCTGCTCGTGCCACACATGAGGCAATGCAAGAACACCTGTCCTATTTGTTACGTGGTGATTGGCAAGCCAGATGCAGAGGCTAGATGTGGCTGATTGCTGGACATTCCAATAGTTATATTATCAAAGGAAGTTTAGTGTGCAAAACTTCCGTGTTACGGACATTCAACAGCTGTTCAACCACCACTCATCATACACCACTCATCATCCACCACTCATCACACACCAGTCATCATACACCACTCATCACACACCACTCATCATACACTACTCATCACACACCACTCATCATACACTACTCATCATACACCACTCATCATACACCACTCATCACACACCACTGATCACACACCACTTATCATACACCACTCATCATACACCACTCATCATACACCACTCATCACACACCACGGATCACACACCACTTATCATACACTACTCATCATACACCACTCATCATACACCACTCATCATACACCGCTCATACACCAGCTCTGGTTTCAACAGCTCAAGCTCCAGGCAACTCCAGCTCCAGGTGCAGATTGCGTGGCAGGTGCAGCACTTTGTGA